CTTTTCTCCTGTGATGGGTAAACTCCTCTGATCCCGCATGCTTGATTTGGAATTGTGAATCCCTTTCCTGCTTCTGCTGAACATGCAGAGATGGGGGAGCAGGGAGACGTGACCAGTGGGGGCAGTCCTCCCCTCCCCACAATGCATTCAGTCAGCATGCATGTGACCGGCATGCACAGGACTGTGAATATGACGAAAGGGGGAGCAAAGGAAGCAGAACTGGGGTAAAGGTCTGGCCTAGAGAAATGATGCCATTTTGGCTGGACATGGGCAAACAAGAGAGGGAGCCAATGTGTATAGAGTTGCAAAGTCTAAAGTCTAGACCATGTTCGGGGAATTCTGACGGCTGTGGCTTTTTATAACATCACAGTGTTGTGACCTACCAACCCTAATGGGCAGAAAAGGATAAAGGGCATTGGTTGGGAGCAGGCATGGACTGAGTTTCAGAGATTATATGGAACTGGCCAGCCAGTTATTTGGCTGCAAGAATATTGTGATTATAGAATGGTTCAATCTTTATTTCACTTCATTAATTCCACCAAAAAACTACCCCTATTTGTTTTCAGTCTACAAACTCCCTTTCCTGCAGTTTCATATCTTCCTGTTGTAGCAATTCAGCCGTTCCCAATCGGAAGTTAATTTGTCCATACAATGTGCAAGCTAAACAGTACATGAACACAAAGCTGCCCCTTCCATTGAACAGGCAAGCCCATTTGTGTAGGAACTTTATGCACACACATTGTCAGAATGCACACCCAGGGGTCTGCACAAGGGCAACTTTGTGGACTGATTCTATGCTGAACTGGTGAGAGTGATAAAGCATACACTGAGAATACTCTGCAAACTGCAATGTTGGGGGGAAGTCATGCTGACTCATTCCTACACAGCTTTTAAAGTGGTACAGCAGATCTACAAAGCATTTTAAAAACAGAGAGGCAGGGGAAGGAGAATGTCTTAACTTTCAAAACTTCTATCACCAAACTACTTGAAAACATCGTATTAATATTTAACTGGAACTGGCAGACAGAAAAGTGTGGGAACTTCTTTATTAAAAGAATCAATGTTTATGTAAATGGCATTGCAAACATCACAAGGATATCATAAACCCTGGGAGGTTTTAGACGAGAAGAATGGGTGAAATCTGACCTGTGTCAATCAAGCCCTAACATGTGTGCTACCTCCAGGCTCATCTAACATGAACCACAGATGTGACAGAGACTGAGGTCTGGATATATCAAAATGTATAATTGGGAACCAAACACAGTCTCCACTCATGACTAGAAGCTGATGCAAAAGGGGAGGGGAAGTGGAAGAAAGTTTGGTGAACAGGCATAGGAGCAAAAACGGAAGTGATCCCTGAACAGTACAACCATCACCTGTATACTCATACCAACCTGAGACTTCCTGTTGCTTGTGCAGTACTAGCACACAAGAGACAAGTACCAGCAGACCCTGGAGAACCCTGAGATATGCACAATTGCAAAAAGTTGCAGGGGGTAAACCTCAAGGTCCTACCCCAACCATAATAATTCAATATGGAATACTGAGAGACTGAGAGTAAACAAACTCTAACTGGGTGGGAGAGAAGGACAGAACAGTGGCTGAATGGAGTGGTTGGAACAGGAGGATGGATAAACACACACATATACACATATGATGTATACATAATAATAATCTCGTTCAGCGGCGTAGCGTGGGTTGTCAGCACCCGGTGCAAGGCAAGTAATTTGCGCCCCCTAACCCGGGGCAAGGCAAGTAATTTGCGCCCCCTAACCCCTAACCTGCCGCCGCTGCCAGCTTCTTCTTGCTGCTGCCTGGTCTGGTCTGGTGTGGTTCTCTCCCGCGCTCAGCACTACGCTGGGTGGCTGCTGCACTGTCCCTCCCCCAGATAGTCCCTCGCTCTCTCTCCGCACCGCACGCCTGGCACCCACCCCCTCCACAGTGGGCGGCGACCCAGCGGCTCGGATCGGATTCGCACAGCCAGCACTGCAGTGAGAGAGAGTGAGTGAGCCAGGTAGGGGCAGAGAGCTGCGAGTGCGAGCGCGCCCCCCCCCCCAGATGTTGCGGCCGGTGCGGCCGGCACCCCCTGCACCCCCCACGCTACGCCACTGATCTCGTTGTCTGAATAGGTCCTGGTTCACCCAAGAGCTATTTATTTATGTTGTGAGGATCAGAAAGTGAGAGCTTCCCATAGACCTCAATTGAGCAATGAAATAATTTAATGTAGCTGGAGTTGAGCACAAGTGTGTTCCTCCATATATAACACCACATAAAATTTCCCAATGAAGATTGAGCAAGCTCAGTGGGCATGAAGTGCAAGCTGGTTGCAGGGCGGGGGAAATCAGGGGGAAGGTATGGAATTGGGATGCAATGGAAACACTAAACAGCAACATTCCACACTGTAACATTGTGTTGCAAGCCCCACTTGAAGGAATTAATTCTAGAAAGCTACAAGGGTCCCCAGGATAAACCTAAGACTCCAATGGGCCTCACTCCTGTGTAATGTGCCATAATAGATCATTTTACCAGTTATGCTGAGCTGCTCAATACCATCCATTCCTAGGTGACAAATCCGTTTATTTTATGACTACAGTAAACTCCTGCCTTATTCCAGGTGTAACTTTGTTTAGGACAGTCTCTTGCCAGTGTTTCAAGGGGATGAAACATAGCCTGTCACAATGTATCTCACCCGTAATCACTTCTAGGGAATTGTTCATTTGTAGCCACTGTGCTTGTACATGTTGTTTTGTTAGGTTTCAAGTGCTTCAGTGAGAACAGTGAGTTTTGTTTCCTAATAATCAGGAATATTCACCTGTTATTTCACAAAAGGTTCTTTGAGCACTGTTCAGACACTAACTGATCATCACTGAACAGGTACATCTCATTACCTCCATCACAAAGATAGGTCAAGTAAAGTCCAAGGTCATTGATCAAGTTTGTGTCTAGCAGCCCAAACACTCAAAACTCCCAGATGTCTATTCTGCTAAGGCCATGTCTTGTTTCTGTCATACCTACACTCTTGTCCTTGCAACCTAATTTTAACTTTTGGCTCACTGGAAGACAGCTGTGTAGGAACCATGCAGTGGGTACAAATGATTTTTTTAATTTTTATTTCCATGGAGTAAATGTGCACAGAATTCCTACCTAAATTTTACTGCTAAGCAATGAGATATTGACCTCTCCTTCTCTCTAAGAAAAAATATGTCCAGGATATGCTCATGGTGTTGTAGTTGGTTGTTGTTGTTTTAAACACCATAGTAATTTTTATATAACATTTATATATCAATTTGTCTCAGTCTCAAAATTTCCCTGATTTTTGTTATGTTCCTTCTGTGTGTTTTTTTTAATATAGTTGTGATTATGCTAATAATTCAAAGGGAGGGGGGAAACCCCCAAATGAAATGAAAAATGTATAAATTGGCTGGAGCCGCATAGAGGGAGCACATGCCATAAACCATGGAACTGAGTTGACTACATATGTATATATATACATTTACGTATACAGAATTCTCTACCAAGCCACAGCTTCTGCATCACCTCACCCCAATCTGACGTTGCTGATGGCTAAATTTTGGGCTGGGGTGATTCTCCACTCTCATTCGGAGGTTTTGCTGCATTCTTCTCCACTCCGGGCAATTGAAACTAGCCTTTGGACTCCTGGCCTGCTGCCACATTGCACGAGCTCTCGGCCAATTTAAATGGCATTATAGGAGTTGGGGCAAGGTGACCCACGCAAACTGAATCCAGGCAGGACAAACTGTCAAGGTCACGCCGGGGATTTTGCTTGCAGCCCGTTTATTATTTGTGCGCGCAGCACCTAACAAATGAAGCATTGGATCTACAAGGCACGTTTAACTGTTTCGGGACGGGGGTGGTTTGTTGTTTTAAATCCGGTGGCCGCCGGCCCCATCTTCGTGGAGTTGTGGGCGTGAGGGACCCTCGACCACCTCTCGCCCGCCGCCGAGGCTCCTTGTTCTCCATCCCGTATCGGGAGATGCGAGGAGGGAAAAACGCATCTTCTTGGGCGCTTTTGGAAGCCGAGGTCTCTTTGGACCGATTTTAAGCGCCCCGAGGGTCACTTGACACACGCGGCTTCCAAATCCCTTGACACGTGGTTACAAAAATCAAAACAAAAAATAAATCGAATATGCCCGAGAGCTCGGACCCTTTGCGAGGGGGGTTCAAAGCCAACTTTAACAGGCGCCTCCCCCCTCAAGCACCTGGAGAGCCCGGCGATCCCCCCCCCAGGCCTCAACCCCCGGGGCGGGCGAGGGGCTGAGCCGAGCTGCCCCTGGCTGCCCCCGAGGAGAGGCCATTCCTGCCAGCCCAGCCTCTCAGAGCCGCGGCCAGGTTTAATCCCTGCCTTGGGTGCCGGTGCGTGAAGCTGCCTAATCCTATTTCGGTGCACATGGATGGGGCGACACCGCCCTGCCTGCCTCGCTTTGCCGCGTCGGCCAAGAGGTTAAATCCGCCCCACTGGCGCCTACGGGGTTAATCGGGGTCTCGGGTGAGGCGGCGCACGTGCGGCCGTTAACGGCCAAGCAGCCCCGCTCTCCGGCCGCCCTTTGCACACGGTCTCGTACATTCTCACGCAGTAGAGCCCGTAGAGTTCCACGCGCCCAATCTCACACTGGGCTCCGGGGCACAAGGGGTTAACAAAGGAAAAGGGGGAAAAAAGAGAGAGAAAGGGCCTAGACTGAATTCCGGCGCCGGACGGGTTAATTGGAGGCGCTGCGGCTCCGACAGGGGGCGACCCCTGCAATGATAACAAACGGTCACGTGGTGCGGTTCGAGCGGGGAGGGCCGTTCCTCCTCCTCCTCCTCTCTCTCCCTTTCCCTCGGCGCTAACGTCACCCCACCTTCCCGATCTCCAGGGCGACGGGCCCATCTGGGCGCGCGTCAGAGCCGCCCGTCTCTTGGCAACGGCTGGATGTCTCTCTCTCCCTTCTCATTCAGCCTCGCGCTTAATCGCGCGTCGCTCTGGCGTCAAAGTGACGTCAATGGGCCTGTCTCGGTTTTCGGAGGGGGCGGAGGGAGGGCTTCCCGCGTGCTCCTCTGGCCCCGGCACACACAGAGCGCGAGGGCAGCAGGGAGAGCAGCAGCAGCAGCAGCAGCCTGGGAGCCTGGCAGGCAGGCAGGCGGGCGCGGAGCAGGAGGCGGCGACGGCGGCAGCAGCAGTCAGCCCGCCCGCCAGCCCGCCTAGCGCAAGGTAGAGTCGGAGAGCGAGGCGCGCGGGGAGACGCTCGCAGCCGGCGCTGCGCTGACTCGGGGCGCAAGTTTTCCGAGGGGAATTTCCCGCGGCGCCTCCGCCTCGTGGCTTTCATGCTCCGTCCTCGGGGGCATTCCTGGGCTCCCCACACAGTCTGGGTAGCCTAGTCTCTCTCTCTGCCTCCCGGGACGGCGGCTGCTTTGAGGGAAGCCCTTGCTGCAGCCCCTAGGTAGCTTTTTAGTGGCGCGTTTCTGTATCTTCATATATATGTAGATAGTATAGATGACGGTCGTCTTGTGAATAGTCCAGGCGAGGTTCCCAAGCTGCAAGACTCGCCAAGCCGCAGGGGATTTGCGCGGCGCTCGTCTTAACGCCCCCCAATTCCCGTCCCATTCATTGTTAGTGGAACTTGAATGGATTGGGCGCAGAAGTTAGTTTTTCAGATGATCCTGGAACGTGTTTCTTCCCTCATCCTAGACAGAACTTGCCCAGCACTTTTCTCCTACTTATTGCTAATTTTTTTAAGTTGCAAAAGTACCTTTCATTGCCTTTGTTGTGTAGTCATCTTAGGCAAGCTTTGAAAGGGTCAGTTGCGCTTTCTCCAAGTTGAAAAGTCCTCAGGACTAACTTCTGAAGTTTGAGGCAATTTGGTAGAACCTCAGTGGGGCAGATTATATATATCTAATAATAATAATTCACTGAAAAATTCACTGGAACTTTGTCTTCTTGCAGGTGCAGATTCCAGTCTCGGAAGAGGAAGGTTTATGTAGACATTTCTAAATAGCATTTGTCACCCACCAAAATCAAACCATGGTGATCATGTCAGATTATACAACTGTCCCCACCTCAAGCCACAGCCAGCAAAGGCCTCTTCGGGTCGGATTCTATGATATTGAGAGGACCTTGGGAAAAGGCAATTTTGCTGTAGTAAAACTGGCCAGACACAGAGTCACCAAAACGCAGGTGGGTGTGTTGATATTTGCTGCCTTGATCTGTATAGAAAATCAACTGTAAAGAGCTGGTAGTATTCCTCTGTGGGGCTTTCTCTTTCCACAGATAAGGACTAAACTAGGTACATTAAGAGAAACTCCCTGGAGTAGACTGTATAATAGAATGTAGTTAAAATAGCAGCAGTTTAATTTGCACATTGAAATCACTTCAAAATGAATTTGAAATATTGGTGATTAGTGCTCTCTTCATTATTTTTGTTGACATAGTTAAAACAAACTGAAGACATGGTGTCTTAGTTGATATTCCTAGGTAGTTGTCAGTTTTTGAAATAAGCTGTGTAGTGCAACTCCAGCTTACATTACCTTTCTAGAACTTTAGTGGGATATGTGATTTGGATCAAAACACTGAAAGCTTCGAAATTGTTTTTTTTATATATATATATAGAGAGAGAGAGAGTTTAATTATATATGCTGAATTTCTTAGTCAACCTATGATCTATTTTCTTGAATCTGGACTAGACAATATATTATAAAACACGGCACATCGGGAGTGATTGCCATTTTAGTTAAATTCAGTGACTGGCACTTTGATTTCTAAGTGTAGCAGTCTTTAAGCATAGTTTAAGGAGTAAGTAAGTTGAATTTAGTGACACTTCTAAGTAAACATGCTTACAATTGTGCTACATTCACTTTTACCTGTTTACAAGTCCTGTTGGTTCCAATGAAATGAATAGTCAATGAACGAGTCTTTGTGTTATTATTGCATTTGTTGATCCCCTAACTTTCTCAAATATGATTCGTTTTTCAAAACATTTTTTTATTTGTACTTGTATGTTGTGCAGTAGTATAAAACCATATTTTACAAGTGTTCTGGGTTTGTTTTCTTGAAACTATAGGTTGCAATAAAAATTATTGACAAAACACGGTTAGATTCAAGCAATTTGGAGAAAATCTATCGAGAGGTTCAGATTATGAAGCTTTTGAACCACCCCCATATTATCAAGCTGTATCAGGTAAGAGATAAGTTCTGATCACTACCTGGCTATTAGACTTATCCTTATGGCTTTGGCTGCTAATGATCTTAAAATGCACAGGCTTCCAACAGGAAATGAATTAGCATTACTTTTCTAAACAGTGCTGGAACAAAGTGACAAAGTATTTCATATCTAAATATTTAGGAAGGTTGTTATTTTGTTTTCAAAATCAATTCAAACAGTTATAAATTGTTCAAATGTGACTGTAAATCATTTGATGTGCTAGGTGTGCTGGGTAGGCATACATAACTAAAATCCCTTGTGCTTTTACACGATGAAAATACTTCTCTGCTTATAGAATTTTCAAAACCATAATCAAACCTCTACTTACAGTGCTGATTATTTGAATTACTAGTTGAAATTGGGCTTTGTCTGAGTAAATGTGTTTAGGGTCAGGAAGTTTTCTTAAAATCTTGGTTTTAGGAACTTCAAAAGCCACAGTGAAATACTATGCAATTTGTTCTAGCTCAGTTGTATTTTCAGCACATGCATTCCTTTAAAAAAGAACAAAAACTGATGTACTCTGCATCTGGTGAGCAGAATTGAATTTACAAATGCTAAACATCTTATCTAATTAGTGTTTGGTGGAAGTTCCTCTTAATCATCTTAAAGAGCACCTTATGGATTTAAGAGGAAGGTGATGAGTGACTTTTTGTCTAAGGAAGAAGAAAATGTTAAACGTGGCTTAAGAATATAGCTGCTCTTAAGTTCAGTGTACAGTAACAATTGCCATAATATAAGATGCCTAGAAAATATCTTTGGGAAGATGAGCAAGGATAAGCTTCGCAAATATGAAAAGCAGAGCCAGTGAGAAACTTGTTTTGGTGGCAGTATTATTTTTAAAGTACACATATATGGCTCCAATATGAACTGCTGTAACACATATTTAGGTCTATTTGTCATCACTCTACCTACCTGACAGATAATTTTTTTTCCTTTCTATAAAATAGTCCAGGTCAAAATAATATTTCAGGCATTGAATATTGTTTAAATCCTCTCATTGCTGAATTAGGCTACTCAGCTGAACCAGAAAAGTGTTTTTAGAAGCTGCTTTTGTGAGGAGGAGAGGATAGTATTTCTACCTACACGTCTTTTCTGTGTTCATTTTTTGATGCACCCCTTTGGTGGAGGAGTCTGAGCTGCAGGAATTAGGTGAAATGCCAGTTTGGGGGTGGAAGGATAGTGTTGACTTAGTTTCAACAGCACTGTCTAATTTTAATCCAATTGGCCTCTTTCCCAGAACATTTTAAATGTCTTACTCTTTCCTGTCACTTCTTTCTATGTATATATATTTAAAATTTATATTTTTCATTATGTTTATATGTGGGATGAGAGCGCCTTTCTTTGCCTTTGATAGTCAAACCTCATTGCAGAATCTTAAAAAATATAGTTTCTGAAAAGACACTGATGCTGCTTTGTGGTTCTTAATCCTTTTTTGTAAGCCAGAATTTACTGAACCAGAAAGTACAGTTCTGTTTGGGAGAGCTGTCTTTGACGGATGTTTTATATTTATCATTTGATGCTGTAAAGCAGGAGAGGCAGTCTCGGGGAGCAACGTGTTAAATTTATTTTTTTGAAAGAATTTGAACCATATTTTAAAAAATGCTTTAGGTCATTTTAAACTTATTTTGCAGGCGGTAATGCCTTTTAGAAATAAATTGATACTGAAATTGCCATTCACACTTCAGTGTTGATGGATGTTGAGAAATAGCTGTGCACACAGAGGAAGCTGTTATGGATAGACAGGCACATCTAGTAACTTACTGAATGAATAAACCTACACAATACCAAGTGTGAATGGGGCGCTTGGATAGTTCTTGTTTGCTTTTTGTTCCACCTTCTGAATGTGTCGGTCACCTGCTTCCTAACAGTGAGATCATGAGTCCTGTTAACGGTCCTTAAATAACATGATACGCCTGTGTAGTTAATATACGTTAATGTAATAAATTATGGACATTGAAGGAAGAGGTGGATGCTATTGAAGTATCTCTGTATGGAAACAATATTAGGTTCATGCAGGGAAGCCTGGTCTTTTCGTTTAGCTCTTTTCTGTGGAGCAAATGCATTTGATATTCAAAGTATATTAAATATTTCAAAGGCCTGTATCTTTAATGCATTCTGGTTTCCCACCCCACCCCCCTTCTCTCTTTCTCCTCTCCCTCTATACCCTTATTAGGTTATGGAGACAAAAGATATGCTTTACATTGTAACTGAATTTGCAAAAAATGGAGAAATGTTTGGTAAGTTCTTATCAAAGCATAGCAGTAGACACTTCCTTAGTAACTTGAATGTTGGGTGAGGAGCATGCATCTTAGCATTCGGATAAATGTGGGCTTTGTTTATCTGTAGACTTCTACAGACATAGGATTATATGGGTTACACTCTACTTCAGATAACTGTGCTTTGAACAGACAAGTATTTGTCTGGTCTAGGCTGCAAAGCCTGATATAAATGAATTCCTTAATTAGCTGAAGTCCAAATAATGGGAATTTCTTTGTGGGCGTGTTGTTTTATGAGGGTACAGAAGCTGAGGATTTCGATCCTAATGCTTAGATATCCAAAGTAAAGGTCACATCACTGAAGGAGGAAAGTCTAGTTGGGGGTCAAAGGAGAAGTTTGTCTGTGGCATTTAGTATTTGACCCTTTTGTCATTGTCTTTGGCAGATCACTTGACTTCCCATGGTCACCTGAGTGAGAGTGAAGCACGGAAGAAGTTCTGGCAGATCCTTTCAGCTGTAGAATATTGCCACAGTCATCATATAGTGCACAGAGACCTCAAAACGGAGAACCTGTTGTTAGACTCTAACATGAACATCAAGCTTGCAGGTGAGAATGGTTGCACAGATGAGGTCACTAAAAAACTTAGTAGGGCTTCATGAAATCCTTGCATGAACAACTTATTTGTGTGATGCCGCAATAGACAGAACCTTTGTAATTCTATGTTTATGAACCTGCTGAATGGATTATATATAATACTTAGCAAAGAAGCATAGGTGCAATTTATTTATTTACTGGATTTATATAAGCTGCTCAGTGACATACTTTCTCTGAACAGCTCACAATAAATAAAAGAATAAAATCCAATACTGAAATACAAAAACAAAACAAATACATAGAGGTCCCTTGCAGTGCCCCTGCTTGCTTTAATTACAAGTGTATTTTAAAAAATATAAAGCAATATTTCATTCATCTTCCTCTACAGACTTTGGGTTTGGAAACTTCTACAAATCTGGAGAGCCTCTCTCTACGTGGTGTGGGAGCCCACCTTATGCAGCCCCTGAAGTCTTTGAAGGAAAGGAATATGAAGGTCCGCATCTTGATATATGGGTAGGTATTGCATTCTGTATTAGATTTCTGGTTGTGTATTAATTTTCCAAGATGGTGATGCTTGACAAACTTCGCTGACTGCATTTCAGGCATTCATATATTGCACTGTTTTTATTTCTTGGCAGAGCCTTGGTGTTGTGCTTTATGTCCTTGTCTGTGGCTCTCTGCCATTTGATGGACCCAATCTGCCATCTTTAAGACAAAGGGTGCTCGAAGGACGATTTCGCATTCCCTACTTCATGTCACAAGGTGTGTTTACCAATCTTTCTGGCGTTAGAAATCCACAATTCCTTTCCTGTTTTCTAGTTATTTGTCAGATTTTTAGGTTTTGAACCATATTTTCCAGATAAAAGCTTTTGTCTTGCATAATCCTGTTTTTGGTGTTTAGATGAACCCTTTAGATCTATGTTGATACTGAAAACATACATTTCCCAGGTAGATTTTCTTTGACATGTACGAAGGCAAATCTGTGTAGAAGAGGATGACACTCTGGCTGTAGTGGCTTATATTTTATTTAATGAAAAGGGGCATATTAAAAATTATTTTAAATTCATTCAGTCATTAAAACTAGGACATTCTGTCAAAGACTGAAATATCAACAGTTTGCTACAGTTCCCCAATAACTTACATCTTGCTCATGCTGTGGAAAAAAGAACAAGTTAATTTTTCATCTTTTTCAGCATATAGACTCAAAAACAGCTTAAACTCTTTTGAGTGGTATGTGATACAATTGCAAAATAGCCATGAAGATAGATTTACCTTAGGTTATCAGACAGTTGTTTGGTGCTCTTTTATGGGTAAGGATAAAAAGTAGTGCCACTAGTTTAGCTTTCAGTGATGTGTCTTGCCTCTTAATATCTATATTCATGTTTCGGTTTTGTGTCTTGTCTTTCAACAGACTGTGAAATGCTGATTCGACGAATGCTGGTTGTAGATCCCACAAAACGAATCACAATTGCCCAAATAAAGCAGCACAAGTGGATGCAGGCAGACCCTTCCCTTCAGCAGCAGCAGTCTTTGTCATTCTCCATGCATAACTACAACTCTAACCTGGGTGACTACAATGAACAAGTCCTTGGGATCATGCATACTCTTGGGATTGATAGGCAGAGAACAGTTGAGGTGAGCCCTTAGCTACATGTTTGGCATCTGAGAAGCCCTTGTCCCTTATAAAATATTGGAATAGACATTGTGCTCTATAGGAAAGGGTAATATGTTTCCCATTTAGATTTCAAATTTTGAAAATGGTGCCCCATGTTGTGGTGGTGCTAAAAAGTGGTGTGTTGCTTGGTAGAATTTCTTCCACGTTATCTGGAAGCCAGGCAGGGTGCTTCTCAAATATGGCACTATAGGCACGAGACTGAATTATTAGGCTGCAGACATACCTGGCTGATAAGAGGGAAATATAGGACATATGAGACGTAACTTGAAAGCACACATGACCAAGGTTTTTTGTCTTCTGAGAATGGGCTTGTGTTGCTTCTGATAATGCACACATCCCAACCCCTCTATTTTAAATGCATCATTTTGTAGAATCCCTCTTGATTTCGGGGGCTCATTCTTCCAAGTAAACGCGTCTTGACCTTCTGACCTTTAGCGAAGAGGTGGCACTCCCCTTTTGAACCAAGCAATCTATTAACAGCTGCCTTTCTCTCTCCTGTCTCCTCTAGTCTCTACAAAACAGCAGCTACAATCACTTCGCTGCAATTTATTACCTTCTCCTGGAGCGTCTCAAGGAGTACCGAAGCAATCAGTTGTCAAATCGCCCAGTAAGCAGCCGTCAGCAAAGGCCAAGGAGCTCAGACTTCAGCAACATTGAGGTAAGATGATGCGCTGTCCTTCATAAGGTCACACCAGTTCCTCTCTGTCCTTTTAAGAAGTATATATTCTGCTGCATATTCTGCTTCTGGGGCAGTAGCTTATATTTTGTGTGACCAAGAGTGGCATTTTCCTCATGTTTCTTTTTATGCCTGAGATCAAAGGACATTTTTCAGCAGGGGATAGGAAGCGGGTGGGGAGGAGGTCTCTTGTACCCGTCCTCAGTGTTGACAGGAAACGTGGCTTGCTTCAGGTTTAAAACCAAAATTCTGCAAGCACTCAGGAGGATGTAGAATGAATTATACAAGTGTAAAAACTATAGGCTGCAGGAAATCTCCGTCTGTGAAGCATTAAGCAGACGGGATCTGCATCCTGTGCAATGTCCTAACCTCTGTATTACTTGGAACTCTGTATGGATATGTATTTATTGAAGAGCAAATTAATTCATCCTTTCATATTGATCCATACCCGTGCAGCCTTTCAAGCTTAATGTATTTGTTCTAGTTACAAGAGCGGTTGGTAATGACTGTTCTCTCAATCCTTCTTTGGCTTCAGTTGCCTCAGAACAGCCTTGCCAGCGAGACCTTGAGATCATCTCTGTTCTACCAGCAGCCCCAGAATCTGATTCAGTCGCCCTTGCAGGCAGAAATGGATTGTGACATAAACAACCCATTACAGGTTGGTGCTGCTAGCGTCCTCACTTCGTGTTTGATTGAAGGAAGTGTGCATGCCTGTGTGTGTGTGTGTGTGTGTGTGTGTGTGAGAGAGAGAGAGAGAGAGAGAGAGAGAGAGAGAGACCTGGGGGCAAAAAGGTCTAGGATGCATTTAAATAGCCACCCCATCCATCTTTTTATTTGTTTTGCACTCCCATGTTAAATTCATAAAACTGAATAAAAAATCCCTTGAAGGACATCATAGAGGCATAATACACAGGGTACCCAAGCAGCTATGATAATGAAGGGATCATTGGGGAGAGGAATGTGGGGAAGAACCAGACAAGGGCACTCTATCACTTCCTGTATTTTTTGACCTTTCAGCCTATGTTCTTTCCCGTGGACCCGAACTTCAACAGTCTTTTTCGGAATCGCTCAATCTCTCCAAACAGCCTCCTGGAAACCACCATCAGTGAGGAGGTCAGGCAAGACAAAGAGCTGGAGGAGGAAATTAAAGCCTTCAACCCCATTCGCCTCCCCATCAACACAAGCCGAAGGCACACGCTGGCTGAAGTGACAACTCATTTTTATCAGTGTTCTCCACCATGTAAGTGTTTGCAAGAAGGATATACATAGAGGGTAGAAGAGTGTTTCCTTTTTGTGCTTTAAACAACATGTTGACAGACACCAAAGTTTTTTTGTGCCTCTGTTTAGTGCATTTATTCACAGTAGGCTATTTAAAACATTTGGCTTTGGAGCCAAACAGCCAAGTAACTCTCACAGGCCTATTCCAGAATGGGGCTTTTCCTTCCAGTGCACAATAAACATGTAATGGTTATTGGAAATCTGAATGACATTTACCCAAGCATGATCATCTTTGTAGAGAGAATTTCCTTTTTTAAGCATTGTAGCTGCGGTGTTTGTCAACATTTTGTCAAAATATGAGCCCCATAGCTGGGATTCCCATAGTTGGAAGATGGTGGTATGAGCACCATTGAGAATATATAATAACTCAGCAGCAGAGCTGTTGGTTCAGTCCTGGAAGTCTGCAGGTAGAGCTGGGAGAGATTTGTGCTTGAAACCCTGGAGAGCAGCTGCCAGTCATTGTAGGCAATGCTACTTGACTCTGTATAAAGCCATTTCCTATTCTTTTTCTTGAGACAAGCAAAACAGGCTCTTTCCCTAGCCATGCCCTCTTAAAACCTTTTAATTCCCTCTCTCTTCGTTCTCTGTTGCTCCCCAAAACAATAGAGCACTTCATGTAACCATTTAATTTAAAAGTGCAAATCTGAACATCAGACCATAGTTTTTGTTAACTGTTTTATTTACTTTTTTTATTCTTCCCTGTTCCCATTCCCTCCCCACCCTAGTTTCTTTGGAAATTGTGTGTTTTCACTCTTTGGTACCTACCTTCAGTGGCTATGGGGTGTGTTTTTGAAGCTTAGTGAACAGTTTGCATCTCTCGCTGCATTCCATGGCTTTTGGAAGCAGGATATTTTGCCTCTGACACGAAGTTCTAGCCAGCTATGCTAGCTTCTTGGCTGGTAGGTTGATGTTGCTTTCCAGGGAGGAGAGGGAAGAGATGGCAGGAAGGTCAGTGCAGTGCAAGCACACTGGCGGGTTAACCTCCCCAGCACATCCTTCTCCCTCCTGGTAAGCTACAGAACCTGCCATGATTTGTGTGCTACCTTTACTAAACACACACCACACAAACTCACAATAGTGTCAACACTATTCCCGTACCTTCATCCTGTCCCCTGGAAAAGGCCATGTAAGCCCTAAAACCAAGATAACTATTGCAGCTGCACTTGATAGAGCAAGGATCCCCTATTGTATTATTACTTGCTTTAGCAATAAAATCACCCTACAAGACTACATTGCTGCTATAACTGGGATGGCACGCCTGCCACGTACAAAGCCTTGTGAGTTTTATACTTGTTTGCATTGTGGTCTGAGGCTTTGGTTAATGGTAGATTTTCTTTGGGTGGGGAGAGTAATCTTATTTCCAACACTCTTCTTTAACTTCCTGTATCCATTTTGCAGGCGGTCTCTTCCAACCCATCTGCTTCTTTTTGTAGGTATAGTCATTTCCTCTTCCGCAAGCCCTACGGAAGGGACCAGTTCTGACAGCTGCCTCACTTCATCAGCAAATGATGGCTCTGTGGCTTTGAGCAACTGTTTGGAAGATCAGATGATGCTTGGTCACCCAGCGACAGCCAGAGTTACATCATCGTTTCCGACTTCCCATTCGGACACACCAGTATTGCAGGCTCAGGGCTGTCTGGGTGGTGCTTCTCTGTTGCCGGTCAGCTTCCAGGAAGGAAGGAGGGCATCTGATACCTCACTAACGCAAGGTAATTATTTCCTTGCTATGTAAGCAATACCAGTCCATAAACACACACAGTAGATACATCAAGTATTCGCTTTTTGTAGTTCTGTAATCAATATGCCAGACTCCTGCTTTCATCATAAGATTAGCACAGACCATCTGCACACATTTTATTTGCCCATCCCATGAAATAACCTGAAAATGCAACAGTGCAGTTTATAAGATATGGAAGTTGGGAAAAGAGGAGCTGCTTGGCAGATAAAATTGGGTTCTATTTGTCTTCTGTGGCTCTTGTACGAGGTTCCTGATTGGTGGGGAAATGAGCTGCAGCAGGTCTGTAGTAGGTGCAAGTAATGTGTGTGTCCAAAGACAATGTCAACATGTCATGCTGGTAGATTTATAACTCTCCTTCTTCTTCTTTGCTTTATAGGCTTGAAGGCGTTTAGACAGCAGCTACGGAAGAATGCTAGAGCCAAAGGTTTTCTGGGACTGAATAAAATCAAAGGGCTCGCTCGCCAGGTGTGTCAGTCCTCATCTGCTCGGGTAGCACGGAACGGCACGAGTCCTTTCCAGCATTCTCAGCAGAGTGCCTGCGTATACAGCAGCGGGGGAAATGGTGGCAGCGGCGTAAGCAGCAGAGAGAGCAGGAACCTCCTTGAAGAGGTGCTTCAGCAGCAGAGGTGAGAGAGCAGCACACTGGCTATTGTAACAGTAGCTTAGTATATCATGACCTTGCCTTCACATTGAAAACAGACGAGCTGTTTATTTTCCACATCACTTTTGGGACATGACGTGTGATCTGATGCTAGCATCGCTAGCGCCACTTAAAGCATCAGTTTGCGATATAGGGTGCTCAGGTTTAAACATAAATGGGTTGCTTAAATGGGTTGCTCAGGTTTAAACATAAATGAGTGGGCTTAGGTTAGCCAGGGCTAACTGAAGCCCACTGCTCAGGTTTAAACATAAATGGGTTGCTTAAATGGGTTGCTCAGGTTTAAACATAAATGGGTGGGCTTAGGTTAGCCAGGGCTAACTGAAGCCCACTGCTTTCAATGGGCTTATTATTATTGTTATTGGGGGTGGGAGGAATTCCAGCTGTTGTCATAAGATTTGTTCTTAGTATTTTCAGGCATGGAAGGATTCTTTTTAGCATCTTACATTGCTTCTGCATCACACAGAGTCCTGCGCAGACATCCAAACTGTGTGCATGGTGGGGATGCAAATCACACCAGCCCCACCCCGGGTCATCCTCTTATGTACAGGGGCTATGTAGAGCCTAGTATCCACATAAGCTCAGACCACACTGAACTGTGCCTCTTGATTTTCAGATCTCCGGGTGGTGTGGGTAGGATCTGTGCATGCTGGGTTGTACACACATAGCTAAACTTGCAAACAGCATTTTGGGTGAGGCAAGCAAACCACGGAGGATGGGATGGGCTAAGCTGGCAAGATCCCCATTTCCCACCACACACATAGAGATGGACTGTGTAGGGCTGCAACCCACAAGGGAGACTCTGTACCAATGGCTTAGTCATGCAGAAGAATGTTTTCCCCCCACCAAATCTGCTGTCATGACTTGCAAAGACAAATGCTTCTAATGCCAAGGTGTGAGGGACAGAGGCTGTAATGTGAGAACAACCCCAAGGAAGCATATTAAAAATGGATAACTTCTCCACTCTCTTCTTTCTTGTATCCAGAATGCTCCAGTTACAACATCACCAGCCAGCCTGTCACCAACCTTCTCAGGTGTCCCAGTCGCACACCATCCTCATGCCCGACACTACAGGAAGCAAAGCATCCAGTTCCTTCCCCCTGTCCGAACTGCAGAGCGAGAACTCATTAGAGTTTGCCTTCCGCAACACCCAGTTTCTCCAGCCTCACCTGTTTGGAGTCAGTGTTTCTCCAGTAACTTCAGCTGCTCACCTCCTAGACACCCACCTGCACATCAGTAGCAATGTCTCCCCCATCGCCTCCATGTTTTCTCAGCAGAATGGCTTTGCTGTGCAATCTCCGAGCTATGATGCAGTTACTTTGCAGCATGGGGACTTTGAAATGGAGGACCTTACATCCACCCAGATGGGGAAGTTCGTCTTAGTCAAATAAGATTCCCCTCCCCCCCTTCCTGCTTTCCAGTTCTCGTGATTCACACACCTCTCTTTTGGAAGAGTGTGCTGCTCTCGCTACGATCTGCAGATGGGTGATTTTTATTATTTTTTGCAACAGTAAAAACTCAGAAGCAATAACCTGTTTGAAATATGTGAAGAGGCCATTTGGCTTAGTAAAGCCCCAAACTTTATAGAACTAAAAGAAAAAAGCAATACTTGCGTCTTTTGGCTTCAACTGTACTTGCACTGAACAAATGTAACCAGAAACTGAAAGGAGAAAAAAAAACTTTTTTGTTTTTGGAAGAAAAGAATGACAGGGAAGTGGGGGTGGGGTGGGGAGGGCACAGGAGAACACTTTTCTGGTACTGTATTAAAGTCAGGCCAATACAGCTCTGCTGTTATGCAAGACTTTGACGGCTGTCAATGGTTGTGGTGTAGCAGGGGAAGGCTTTTCAAAGAAGGGACCAGAGCCACCCTATTCACAATATTTGTTTATGGATTTGTGAAGACGATAATTACCTCTTTTCTTAAAGACGACAAGCAAGAAAAAACCGCCACCCACAAACATAAACACAGATGCTTTTGTGTCACATTAATTGTTGATAGGGGAATAATGACAAAATTATTACGCATTATTTCTTTTTATACTCTTGTTAAAGGAACCAATACCTCTCTTTACTTTATATTCTCCCTTACTCAAAGGTTTATACCTTAAGAGGAAACTGTGAACTTTTCTGCTTAGTCTCTCACTTGTAGCAGCTAAGGGTAGTTTGTATTCATTAGAAGCAATTAATTTGTCCTCTGGCGGTTCTGTTACCAGACTACAAATTGTGTTCCTGCCTTTCTCTCTTCCGGTGGTGGTGAGGTTCAACAGTAGGAAAATGTCTGTGCATCAATGAGGAGATGCCCATGGAATACCGCAGAGGTGATGGGAGCAGAATTGCTAAGAGGTGCTTGTGTGGGAAGGCTTTCTTTTTAAATTCTTCTTTTACCTCCCTTCCCTCTGCCACCCCTTGAAAAGCACCATCAAATGCTTTGAGGTTGCCTATGGGATGTCTCTCAGTGCTGCACACAATTAATGCCGCTGCTAATAAGATTTTTATGCATTTCGTTATCAGGGTCCAAACTGAACCGTCTCGTTGGGGAAACGTGCAATATTCAAAAGGTTGTGACAATTATACTGACAGTCAAAAGGAAATAGGATAGCACAACTTGATACTCTTCGTAAACAGTCGTTTTTTGAACAAACTAGTTTAAGTGAGATGAACAGCACAACTTCTGGGTTTTGTTGTTTTGTATACTAATAGACGAGAGGGTTGTTGTTTTTATTTTAGGCATTTTTATTTGCGGTTTTAATAATCTGTGTGTGTGCATGCACACATATAGGACTCAGAAGACAATATACACTACTTGGCTTTTGAAATAAGCTTTTTGGAGTTCCCTGGCATTTGCTTCCTCTGACCAGAGAATGGCTTTTGTTGATACCAGTGGAAGCCTGGCAATGGATGTCACAGGGAGCAGGGAGACCACAGCGGGTCTTCCTTTGACCTAATACATAGTTGGCGGGGTAAAGAGTGTGGGAGATCAATTGTCAGTAGCAGGTGAGCAAGCTTGGCCAAAATTACCATTCAAATGTCTGAAAACAGCTTCATTCTGTCTAACACTTTTAAGGACCCATTTCTAAATGTAACACAGGGGTGCCTTCAAGTTACTACTACTGCTTCTTGCAACCTGCAGTGTTATATATGTAAAAAAAGAAAAAGAAAAAAAAGCTATTTTTTTAAATAAATAAGCCAAAGACTGTCTGTCTGTGGTGGTAGTGAGGAGGGAGATAAAGTTGTATAGATCTATCTGTGGCTTTTCAACCTCTTTATCTGTGTACAGTATCTATATTGACGTGTCTTCAGTTTGCTGCTGCTGCTTTGTGTTCTGGAATCTCCAAGGTGAAGGGAAATAACTCCGTACAACCTTCTCTCTGACTGGTGCCTTTCGGCAGAGAAAATACCAGACTCATGCTAACTTGCAAGGCGGTTTGGTGTGTGGTTTGTAGGAGTGGCTACAAGGAGTGGGAGCAAGATCCGTCACAAAGCAGCAACGTTGCCTTCATTTTCGTAAAACGGTAGCAACATGTTATTTTATGAACTGCATTCCCCACCCCAACCATTTCTGTCTTTTTACTTTATTTTCTACCATAGATCAAGAGGCCACAAAAAACAACTTTTTGTTCTAAGCAATGACAAGCACTTTACTTCTTGAGCCCCCCCTCCCCAATTGCTATAGAAAATGCTTTGAAACTATTCTGAAGTAGAAAAAGGTCATTTTCAACATTTCAGGGTTTGTGTCTCCTTTCCCTCCCCCTTGTAGTGTTCTTGACAGTACTGTTTTGCAGACTGCAATGCAATAGATTATTTAAATACACTATGTGATTGGTTTAATTAAGATGTATAGTTTTATTTTTTATCATGACGAGATCATTTTGTTTCTTATGTTAAAGAGATGTACACCAAAATGATTAGTTGTGTTTTATTTAATATTTAAATAAACAGTTGTTGAAATAATCTGCCTTGCAATCCTTTTTTTTAAAAAAAGTGTGGGCTTTTTTTTTTTTAAAGATACATCTCTTTGGGTTTCCCTTACAGCTGATCTTTTTGTAAAGTCTTTTATTTCCATGGAAAACAGAAGGGCTCCTCAGATGTTTTCCACCCCCACACAAATATTACGGTGTTTCCTGATCTGGTGTCCTCCAGAGTGTTTTGGATTACAGCTTCCAAAACTCTGTGCTAGCTAAGGCTGATGGGAGTTGTAGTCCAAAACATCTGAAAGGCGCTAGGTTGGGAAAGGCTGGTATACGGAATACATGGAAAAGGAAACAGAACCATGTTCCCTGGTCCTATCCCCAGTCTCCACACAGTCACTGGAACGTATACAAGGTCTTTCTTTTTGTGTACAATTCTATCCTCTTGAGCGCAAGCAACTAAAATTCATCTGGCACTAACAAATTTATTATGGCTTAACATTTTATGGATTTTGGGGGTCTTCATAGGGTTGCCAACTTTTGATATTAAAAATACTCATCTGCTGCTCTCCTAGGACCTTACGTAGAGCTAGTTCACCAAGAACACCTAGAAGGTTAGGGGAGAAATTTGCAGAAACATAATGAGTCGAGATGAAAATTATATAAAGTCTGTGTCTGTGTGAAACTCAGTATAACAAAACACACCAGGTGATGCACTGGATCAAGTATAGTAATCAGTCAGTCTCTCTCTTCCTCCTACTATTGTATATAGTTAGTATTAAAGTCCAAATAAAAGGAATTATGATGTAGAAATGTCATAAAATTATATTCAGTATGGATTTCTAAAAAATGGGGCAATAACTGTCACCTAATAAATTCCATAGGAAGGCTGCATAAATGCCAAATGACTTGTGATTAAATCAGTAGCACGTTAACACACAAGAAATCCACAACCAATATATGTAGAAGTACAAATTAAGTATTGTAACTTCACTCAGACCAAACACGAAAGAAGCATATTGTTGAGGAGGAATTGTTTTAAAGTTCTGCCTTTCTCACTGGTTCTCCCCTGCCCTGAATAATGGAACATCATCAGATTGTCAAAAGTCTTGGGATCTTTTGGAAATGTTGCAAATCATCCTCTTGGCTGGCCTTTGAAGCTAAGGATTAAGGTAGCAAAATGAAGGAAGTATCAGTGAACTTAAAAAAATATCTGTTCACGTATACGCAAATTCTTGAGCTGTCTCTGTAGTTTACTGGCATTTTAATCCCAGATACTGGTTACTTCCCTGAATGCAGTTTTGCTCGTAAGACCTGTCAAATAATGGCTGGTTGGCAAACCTAGATTTACCCAAGCGAATACTGTTGCCCTTGTTGTGGGGTGATGTAAGTAGGGCAGCTTCTGCTTCCTCCTTGGCCTGCCACTAACATCCCATCAGCCACTAAATGCAGTGTACAGGACTTGGGCAATAATTATAATTATTACTTTGTGTGGCATTGCTAGAGACAGGGCTGTAGTGCCAGCATGGCATAAACACCACTTTCTGCACTGGGGTGGGGGGTGGGGAGGTGTATTCAGAAAGAGATTTCTGTCTCTTGTTGGGGACCAATCACGGTTTGGCAGATGGGTGTTGGCCGGGAGGGGGGGGGAAGCGCTTGTCTTTTACTTTCAGCATTTGTCAAACAGGAGATGCTGGCAAGCTCTGTGCATGTCATCTGTTTTTGCATATGAATTTGGACAAGATCTTCCAAAGCATCTAGATTTTCCACATGCTTATCCCTCTTACATTGCATAAGCAGAAATAAATTGCCTATGAATGCATACTTTTGGCTCAATAATTCCTTTGGCTACATACCATTAGGGAACTGGGGCTGACACCAACAGTGAACTTAACTCTTAGTATCCCTGCTCATAATGAACGGCTGCAAATGTAGCTTTTAAATCTGGGGCGTAGAGTGTTGTGGCTTTGCACATGTTTATTTCGAGAGGCACAGAAGGCTTCTGAGGTTGGAACCTGATCGTGGGACTTGTTTTCCCTTCTCCCAGGCTGTTTGATTGGTGACCTTGAAGCGTTTCCTTCTTCCTCTATAGCCTGGAATACTGCTCTGTTCCACAGATAATCTCTCTCTGTAGGGAAGTACTGTATTTGCTCATCCCACTTCTCCAAGTTGTGGAAAGTCCCATGGGTTCAGTGTTTACTCACTTTGGAAGGAAGTTGCTGGAGGCTTATTGGCCTCTTTTAATGGTTCTGTTTGCTTACAAATAAATGGGCTGAGCACAGGGAGAGCTGCAGTGTAAAAACCCCAACAGACAGCCCAAGTTCACTGCTGTCATGTCAGATTTCTAGAGAGGCACCCGACACCCTATGGTGCTTACAGAGAGCCCAAAGTCATCTCTCTCTCTCTCTCTCTCTCTCTCTCTCTCTCTCTCTCTCTGTCTTTCTGTTGCCCTCAAACTGTGGACCCCCAGACATCATCATTTA